GGTTGAAGTACACGTTTTATGTAGTGCTCCCAGCCACTATACTATGCCTTTTGAAATACCCGAAAGAGCAGAGAATGGGTTTGTATCGTGACATGTACTGCTTTCCCATAAGCAAAGTTCACAGTTCTCTTTCTTAATGCTCTGCTCACGGTCACGGAAGCCAAGCCTTTCCAGCACTCTCAGCAAAATGTTTGGCAGCCCGACCCTGATGGCATCAGCCCCAGAGTGCTTAAAGCATGTGCATTCTTGCTTGGCGAGGTCCTGAAACACATTTAGCCAGTCCCTGCTTGTACAAAAAATCCCCTCCCCACCAGAAAACCTCATGCATAGTCTGTGTGCCCAGGAAGGGATGCTTCAGTGCCCCTAATGAGTACAGACCAGTGACTCTGACATCCTACATAATGATATTTAATTGGTTGGTCCTCCAGCATCTCAGACCACCTGTGAAGGACTTCCTAAACCCACAACAGTTTGCGTACCAGGCACACAGATATGGGGAAGCTGTTTCAGAGAGCCTTCCCAACACCGGGATTAATTTATGTACAGTAGCTGAAGCTGAAGGTGATAGGGTCTGAGGAAGCCATGGTTGCTTAGATCCCAGAATACCTCACTGACAGCTCATCTGCATCAGTAACTGGGTATCCAATGATGTGCTAAGCAACATGGTGGCACTCCAAGCGATGTTACCATTTCTGTTTACTCTCCATCAACAAATCATGGAGGATAAATTGTATCAAAGAACACACATACACACGCAGGTAATACAAAACAAAACTGTACAACAACACAAAATAACAGCATGAATGAAGAATTAAAGATCGGGGGTCAGTTTCCCAAAGCCTTGTTAATACTACATTGTTTGAAAGTTCTATGTTAAAAGATCTATGTTTGTATGTTCTATGTTACGAACAACGTGGTGTTAGGAAGGTTTCAGGAAACTCACCCCAGGTTGTTTTAACATAATATATTATATATTATATATAATAATGTTTGGAATTTGAGTACTACACTTGAATTTAATAAAATGATGTTAAATGAGTACAAGCCTTCTGTGACTGGAAATTGATTGTTATATTATTTTGGTCATACGGTCACAGCCATCGCTGGGGGAGGGGCTGGGGGGGGGGGGGAGAGACATGTTTTCCCAGGTCCTAGACTCCCCACCCCCACACCCTCACCCCGCATTCAGCACAATATACCAAGGGGGCCAAAGGTGACCACCTTGCTTTGCTCCTGCATATGATGGTCTTGCTCCAATGGAGTCTCTACTACCACTTCTGTGATAATTATGCTGAGAAAGCACATTTTAACACAGCCATAGAAATTTCACATATCACATAGTTTTTGGTTTGTATATAATTTTATTTAGTATGCTTCAGACAATTCAGATAGTTTCCTAGAATGAGGAAATGGGATCTGCAGGATCCCATTTCTAAGGAGGGATTTAGGAAAATAAGGACCAGAATCGCGGATGGCTTTGGGGCAATAGATTTCCAGAATGTGATGAGAAAGCAGCGGGAAGCCCTTGAATCTGAGTGAGCCTCTTTTTCGATACATCTGCTTGTGGTCCATAATTCTTGTTTTAACCAAGTTTACTTTGAATTCTTTCCATATTAGTGGAGATTTTAAATTATTACTTTGAAGTCTAACTTGAAATTACAATTAACAACATGACAATTTCACAATGCTACAAAATTATATCTTTGTACAATTGTAAATTGTGTCATATCCATTACTCAGACACATTGATTTGCAGATTGGATGTAAATGAGAACCACAGAAACAGGCTAAAATTAGGTATTCATTTTAAATAAAAGGAAATATGAGATTCAAAATAAATATTTCAGTAAGGGCCTGTATTTATCCAAAGATGAAAACTGCACATTAATTTACACACTGCATTTATTTTAAATACATCAAACAAAGGCCATTGAAAATACATGTTAATAAGTTGGGAAAAAAACCTTGCATAAATGATTGCTTGAAGCAAATGTGCTTGAATATGCAGGAGTAATTACGTGTGGATAACAACCTGACAAAAACAGAGAGTGATATTAGACTGCTGCAAAAATTGTTATTGTCAATTACAAATCATGAAATTATGGCCATTTGCAAATATATACCCTTTTTATAAGCTGATTGTAATTATACTGTGTAAAGCAGGGATACATTAGCAATCAGTCACTCCCTAATGTCTAAGATTCTTCTATTAAATTCAATTAGCTGCATGTGGACCTACATGACAAGTTTGTACAAGAAATCTTTCCTTTTCTTTATATATGTGACAAATGATGCACCCAGACATTTTTGTGACATTATATTAAGACACTAAGGTTGTGGATTTCTGCATCTCACACCTCTTCTCTGTCCCATAAGTAAATGTTCAGTGTTGCCTTAACAATCTCCTTATATTCAGGAAATAAGATCGAAATGAAATTAGCATGCAGCTACATTAGAATTAATGAACTATCACCTCACAGCACTACCTCTATTCGTTATATTATTTGGAAGATTAAATGTATCCCATTTCTAAATACAAGTACAGGCTGTAACCAGCCTTTATACTAGTAAATTTAGACTTTCAGTTAATAAATTCCATTTTTGATGCCTTCTAAAAAGGTCTCAAGTAGAAATCGTTCTCAGCTTTAGTTAGTCTCTTTCAGATTTGCTGGAGTGTGATGATTGGGTAACAGATATAAGGATTCAACAAAAATGATGTTTAATACATTATGTGGCAACTGAGTTTCCCCATCTGTTCATTAATGCTTTTAGCGACTGCATGAAAAAGAGATATCTAAAATATTTTTATTTAGGTCTATGCCCTGCGAAACTCTGGTGTGCAGAATGTGCAACACATGTCTTATGCTTCCTGGTATAGATACCAGAGACAACACAACTTTACTACAGCCATCCATCCACCCATCCATCTATCTAGAAAACACCTTTGTCCATTTATTTTCAGAAATATACAATTTTCAAAGAACGGAAATGGGAACCATTTCAAAAAGCATTGCCTTGCTGTAGTCTTTCTTTAATTAATGTTTTTATCGTGTATTTGACATTGTAAATGCAGTTAAGACAGAAGTGTCTTGTTGACAGTCATTAGATTCTGCTCACATTTTCTATTCTTGGCATTTGTAGGAGGCCAGCTGAATGAGATCATTAATATTCACAGCACCAAAGAACATTCTTGAGGCTGTAAATGGAAGCAAAGATTGCTGTGCCTTCTGCAACTTCTTCAGAAATGAAACAGAAATATTCAGCAGGGGATACCACTGGGAAATATGCCAGCGGTGTTATCCCCAGTGATGGTGGCGTGATAAAGGTCTCCTCTGTGCTCTACAGCAAAGGGATGGCATTTAAGAGCGAAAAAATAATTACATATCTATCCAGAATTACTAAACGCTTGTAGTGAAGTAATAAAACAAATCATGAGGGAAATAGAGTTAATATTATTTGTTTAATTCATTTGTTGGGTAATCCTGGTAGAACAAGGCTAGGGATTTTTTCTTAAGCATTATTATTATTATTATTATTATTATTAGTAGTAGTAGTAGTAGTAGTAGTAGATGTAGTAATAGTAGTATCTGTATTAAGCAAAAATTCCTGTCTATTTTTTTATTGGATAGATGACATGGCAACAAAAAAATGATGCTAGAATCTTTTATAGATATTATGGCCATAGTATGAAAGATTAAACATTTCAGAAGAATGTTTACTAGTATGGTACCATACCATTTCTGCTTCTGTTCATCTGTGTCTGGAGATCTACGTTATGTTTGTTATGTTGCTGATTTTCCAGTAAGATGAACAGGCAGCCCTGTTTTGGATAGCGTGCTTGGTCAGCTACTTCAGGTAACTTCTTGCAACAGGATTATCTGCAAATGGTGAAGGATATCAGTAAATGCAGGATCGGGCATTCAAGGGAAATGTCTGTGTATGATTGTGCTTCATTTTACGGGTTTATTTTTATTAAACAAGTTACAAATTGTTGCAGTATTGTTTAATTTCTGGATAACTGTATAATTTGAAAAACTTTTAGAGTATTTAAACGAATATTTGCGTTGATAATCAGACAGTCAAATAAACTTATGAAGAGTCATTTGGGGGTCTTCATGACCCCAAAGACAGGACTTCTGGTCTCTACTAATTACCCATTTTCAGCCATAGAATCACCTACATACTTACCCCGAATCTGCTCGGAACATGACACACATAGTCGCACAATATAGACTTCTTGACAAGGCATCAACCAGAGGGGTGTCACCGCTGTAATTCCAATCATTTTTCATATGCTAATACCATTGTACCCTGTGAGTGAAATCAGTTTACTGATTGTAATTGTTTATTGCTTGTTACAGGCTTGCTCAGGCTCCTGTGGAGCAGCAAACCAGTGAGTCAAGTTTTGAGAGTTCCAGAAATAAAGAGAAAAACATAATAATGTACAGTATGAGTCATTATATGTATATGCATACAGAGATGCCTTGTAAACATTCGCAGTGGGTTACACATGATTCGGTACATTATATGCAACCCAAAATTCATCTGAAGTTTGCTAAAATTTCTGAGCTGTGGTCAAATACTGCTCAATTTTCAAACAGAAGTTGAAATATAAAAATGTTTTTGTTTGTTTAGTTTGCTGAGTGTTAGTTTCAGTGTTAATTTTCCTTTATTTGACTTAAAATGATTTAATTCAAGGTATGTTGTCTTATTTCCTATGCTTCTCATGTAACCCTGCATTGGATAAATGGTTGTGAAAAAATTATGGTGGATAACAACAACATCAATAAAAATATTGTAACAGAATCTGGCAAGGGGACATGAAAAAGCAGGTGTAACCCCCCTAAAATTGCCAGCCAAAAGTTTAGTTCAACATCAGGAGGACTTATTCTCTGTTTCTCCAATAGAGGGAATATGTTTAGAAGTGCGGCAGTTATAGTGGCGCTCTAAAAAAAAATAGAAAGGTGAAAGAAGCGCGCGGGAAAAAAAGTGGAAGAAGACGGACTGGATGGTGGAGCTGCCAAGCAAGTAGCAGGTTTAATTTCAGTTTTCGATAAGTTGAGAGTAATTTGGAAAGAGAAAAAAGAAATTAGTTATTAGTTTTCTGGGTTCTGTCCAAGGATTTTAGTTTCCTTTGAGAGAAATTTTCGGTGAGTTTTCTGGGATTGAGTTAAGAAAAAGAAACATGTTATAGTGTTATGGCGGGAAGCAAAGGGAAGGAAAAAAAACCAACCGGGGATTTAAGTAGTTTTATTTGCCCATTGAAATGATGTAAGTCTTGAATATTATGATATGCAACCGATACTGTATGTACATGTTGTTGTGATACGACGGAAAACGGAAAGAAAGGGATATGTTTTACCTTGCTAGCACGCGCCATATTCCCTTCCCATAATTTCTTTTGGTTGTTCGTAGCTCAGGTTAAGGCTGTGTGGTAGTATGTGAAACCTTGGAATCAAATTATATTAAAGATATTGTCGTTGTGACATATTGGTAGAATAATAAAGATGATTTAATGATTTTATAGCCTGCGACGTGCAGGTTGGTTTTTTGATTGCTGAAATCCTGTTCAACATCGGAGGGACGGTTGCTTGAAGAGGAGAACGATCAACGGAGAAGCACGGTCACACGCACCCCGCCAGGATCTGCACCGGAGCCGTGCGCCCTCCGTTGGATTTCAGATAAGAAAAGACACAGAACAGAGGGAGGACAACTGGACTGGACTGAATGACTGACGGGATACAACAATCTTCTTTTTTTTTTTTATATTTCTTTGATAAGCTCATGAGCACGGTTATCTTTTGAGGGGTGGATGTATTTGTTTCATATTATTTGTTATAACTATTTGGTTTCCCCTGGTGCAGTTTTGATTGTGAGGTCCGTAATAATATGCATGTTTTATTCCTTCTTTTTGTAGGGAAGGGATTTGGGAATGATTGTATAGAGAACGGACCAGGCTGAGCCTTAGAGAGAAGTTAGCTTATTGGCATGTTATTAATTAAGCAAATGGTTGTAGTTCCAAATGTTTTTTTTTTTTTTTTTTTGTGGTTTCATTTTACCAATCATCCTCCTCCCTGAACCTAGAAAGAAGGGTTATACATGTTTGAATAAAGTCTGTGTGTGTTTACTTATTTTCAGCCAGGTCACTAATGAGTCTTCCGCTTTGGCTGGAGGATAACAGTGATTTGTAATAGTGATCGCACTGACCAGTCAGGCTGGTCACATGAGATCATTTGAATTGAAAGGTACATATTACAATCATATTTGGTCCAAAACACATTTAAAAAACAAAAAAGCCATTTATTTACACAACTGCATGCCATATGGTGCAAACAATGCAAAGATGTGTACTTAATTTCCATACACCCTAAATGTCTGCATGACACTAATGAAATGAAAATCTTGTTTTGAAGTTCAGTACCTGGGTTTGGGCCTGATTTCTGAACAGCAAAGGGCATCCTGTCCTTCTGGTGCAATTACACCTCTCTCCATGAGATGGCCATTTCATCTCTTCTCACACTGTTAGGGTATCATGTCGAAATAATGTTCCCAAGTAGCAACACACATCCAATTTATAGAAAATCCCTTAATGAACAAGATGACGTCATTGACTTTTTACAAAATGTAGTACAAATTTTGCTCAACTCTCTTCAAGGAAAAAAAAAAACATAACTCTATTCTTTACTGTATGTATTGCCGTTTTGAATGGCACTAATATTTTTCAATTAATTTTCGGCAGTATTTATTCAGTAGGTTTAACAATGATACATTTCACCGGTGATTATTATTTATTCATTCATCTTCCAGCCACTTATCCAGCACAGGGGTCACAGGAAAGGCAACATAGGACACTTTCTGAATCGTTTGGAATGCAATGTTAGTCCATTGTGGTGCACATCTGCACACACACATCCACGGGCTATGAGCAATTTGGGGATTCCCAGTCAGTGTTTTTCCCAAAGGACAAATCACAGGTGCTCCATGGAAATCCATGTGACATGGTAGGAATGTACACCCGAGCAAAGGTAAGATTCAAACCAACGAGGCAATAGACCAAACCACTCAGCCATTATTCCAAATCTTTAGTCAATAGTTTCAACATGTCAGATTCAGTAATTGAATGGGCTTCATGATATTGGACTGTTATTCCCAGAAAGCCAGAGATTAGTGTCCCATTTAAACCAACAGGCTAATCTGTCAAGAGGTTTATAGGTAAGCAAGTTGTATGAAAGCTGTTCTAAGTACACTATAATGAAAGCAACGCATGTCATTGCTGTACATTTCAAGTGGGAGTTTCTTATTCCCACTGTACAACAGTTAGCCAATCATATACCAGCAATTACTGCAGCAGCTGTAAAGAGGAAAGCCCATTTTGCAAGGACTGCATGCGGAATTCCCAACAATTAGACCTTCCCTTCACCATTACATAACTTGAATATACATTTATATTACAATTATGGTGGCTGTGACTTATGAATCAGAATATTGGAATATTTGGGTGAAAGGTACTGAACCATTTATTTAGCCAAGGGGCTCCATAAAGTTTCTCCTCTGGTATCTGCACATGGAGCAAGATTTTATAATAATCAGCACAAAAACATGTTCAATCAAGGATGAAATGCAATGATTCAGCAATGCTGGATGAGAACACTTAGTGATTAATTGGATGCCATGGCAGTAAGAAATGCTTTTTTGTTAGAAGTATAGAATGTGTATCACAGATGACATGCACATGTGGAGAATAGAAATATAGCAACTAGAATGCCATATTAACACTGACTAGGCAAGTCTGTGTCATATTACTCAGGGCTCTAGAGGAGCGATGTTGTACTCTTTATGTAGCATATTGTGTTGTGTAGCACATTATGTTTGAAATCAGATTCATTTAAAATGAAAACATGCGCTGCGCTGTTGTGTCCACACCGATTCTGAAAATGCAGAATTCAGCAGTATTTGGATCTAAAGGCAAATCATTTTCAAGGCTCTCTGAGCTGCGAAACAAAATTGCATTTACACTGTATATGCAGCGAAAAATGCTTTAGCAAACTTTTTCATATTTACTCAAATATTACATGCATAAGTCACATATCTGATAGTGTTTATAAAGCATTATGGAACGTGCATGACACACAAAAGCTGGAGGCCATGGTTATATAATCCCTCTGACGCAAACAGAAAACACTCTCAGGGATACCTTAAAAAAATAATGATAAAATCAATGTTTCAACAAAGACATCTCTCCATTTATATAGTGTAGCATATTATTTATTTATTTTCCCGATCCTGAATAGCTGTGGATGTTTTTTGCTGCACAGCAAGCAGAACAGCACCTCTGCGGTGCTCCCATTAGTGAGGGATGAGCCTTAGAGGTCAGACAGATCCTATAAACCCTGTGCGGAATAACAGCAGCATCCACAGCATTTCGTAGGCTGGAGTGCAGCTCTTGCTGCCACCCTTAAGTGTAGCCAGACCTGGAACAAAGTGGAAGCTCAGGTTCGCTTTGAACATTTGCATGAATAAATTAGGTATTTGCAGTACACATGAGTGAGCTATTTCTCAGCACGATACCACCATTCAGTGTGTATTGGTCTTTCCTAACAGCCATCAAGTACATGGTTGAAACCCTTTATTAAATGGATGACTGGAATACACAAAAATGTCTGTATGTGGAAGAAGATCTGGGCCGGTATGCATAAAACTTCCTAAGAATGGTCTTAAGAATGGTCGTACACTTGGACTTACAGTAAGAGTAAAAAAAAACTTAGCAAAAAGTAGGACCTAAGAGCATTGTATAAAGCTGCTAAAAGTAACTTTCACCAAAGTCTAAGCCCAATTCCTTAGTGCTGACAGAGCCAGCATTTAAGTGTCGTGAAATGAGGACTACAAATAAAATCCCGCCCTAAATACTGAGTTCAACCAATAGAGGAGCTGCACGGTGAATATATTAGTGACATTAAACCGTTAATGTACAGCTTTATACAACATACCGTTCTGTGATCATACCTTTAATTGGTTGTACGAAAATCTACCTAGCACACCACCAATCAATTTCCACTAACAGATGCACATGTTGTATAAATTACTGTATGGGTCAAACGCAAAACTCATAGCAAGATATTGGATTCTAAAAGAAAACCAAACTGGACGACAAACGAAACGGTTCTTTTGGCACAGTTGGTGCTTAAATGGAAGGAGGTTGTGTGAGGAAAGTTTGGCCCAGCTGTTACAAGCACGGATAAAAAAAGCTTAGGAGGCTATTGCAAGCTCCGTAAATGTCACGTCACCTCGGGCAACGCGTTCAGCAGCGGAATGTGAAAAAAGGTGGTACTGTATAATATTTTATCGACCTCGCGAAAGGAAATCACAGTTTATAAAACAAGCATGCAAGCTACAGGTTTGTGTCATTACTTATATTGCTCTTATGACCCTCGCTATAATAGATGATGATGATGATAATAATAATTATTATATTTTTCCAGTTGCCAAAAACGTAGCATCATTATCAGCTTCAGTTCAACTGTAAGTGCATTTTTAGGTGACGTAGGAGATCGTATCGGGTTAATGCCCTCATGATCGAGCCTGTACCTTTTTATCAATTCATTATTGTCGTTTGTCTGCAGTACGTCCTTTCATTCTCGGAAAGTGCGCGATCTCCGTCTTCGTGCGCATAGTGCTGCTGCCATCATGCAACTCCTAACTGGTTTAGGAGTCCTCTCCAGCTCTCTTAAATAATTTAGGAGCTGAGACCTACTCTTAACACTTAAGAATGTTTATGCATGCCAATTATTCTTAAGTCTGGGCGTAGGAGCAAAATCACGTCACTCTTAGAATTGTGACGCATTTAAGAGTGAAATTTTACTCTGAGAAGTTTTATGCATACCGACCCTGAATTTTTTTTAAAGAAAAAAGCATATAAATAATTCTTGATACTGCATCGTACAAGTTTTTTATACAACATTCACAAACAAACAAATGGACGCACATACACTTGCCTATATGTGTTGAAATGAGTGATTGGAGAGTCTGTATAAATACAATTCAGGCACAGAAAAAGTTGAAGGCATGTGAAAAAAATCTAACAGAAAAAAACAATTTCAGTTTCACTTCTGAGATTGAAGCCTGTCAGGAGGATACATTATACTCAAGGCACCTACACTGACTGACCTGAAGTTTCAGGGATCCCTAATGAGTAAAGAGGAGTCAGGCAGGTCTCTTTATGATACTGCTTATTGCTGACTGTTCACTGTTTTGTGGGGCCATCTCTGAAGCCCCCTGCAGGTCCTGCTACTTGTCTCATTGGATGCTTAACGCATACACACACAGGCATACACACGCACACACTGATACTATGTTCAGAATCAGTGCCAGCTCTGCTGGACAGCTCCTGGAACCACAGAGGCACCTAATTCCCATCAGCTCATACCCTGGCTCAAGCATGTGCAATGGCAGCACCTTTTTAGCGTAAATGAAAAGAGGGATGTCCGAGTGAAAAGACAGCCCATTCGGTGTGTGGAAAGCAAGCATGAGCAGTTAAGATTTGCGGGCAGAAAATGATTTTCAGTTCCATTTCATACCTTCCTTCACCATTTAATACAAAGTAACCCTTTATGCTAGAAACATATCCAATTAGTTCTCACATAGTACATATTTATCACATAGTACATACTGTACTACAAAATGCAGTATGCGACCTGATTAGTATGTCTGAATCCTCAGCATCGATGAGACAGTAGGCAGATGGTACCTTTTACTTTACCTTCTGTGAAATTCCAAAGTACCCTACAAATGGATGCTATGCCACAAGGCCACATGAGCAGCAACCAGAGAACAAGGATGTTGTTTGCTCAGAAATTTGTGTGAATTAAGACGGTGGAGGAAGTAGAAATGTAGGTAGGAAACAGTACACATTCACAAAAGTGGACTCGAATGTGTATTTTTTTCATTGATAGTTTTTAAAAGTTTTTGAGTTTGATGGGGGTCATTGGTAAACATCAAGTGTAGGTAATGTGCAAGATTGTATGTCTGAGTGCATTTGAACTGTTCTCATGCATGCATACAGTACATACTACTTTAACAATGAAGTAGTAGGCTTCTAACCAAATTGAGTATCTACTGTGTAAGCATTTGGTTTCAGATG